ATGTACATGTCTTTATCTAGACCTCTATAAATGCCCTTTTCCTCCCAGCTCTTTCCTCTATTTCCCTTGATTCTCAAAAACAACAACGAAAAACCTCCAGACTCACTGCCGCCGAGCTCCTGGCGATCCGCAGCGACTCGCAGGAAGAAGTGCCCCTGTGCGTGCCTGAGCCTGTTGGTCTTCAGAGCAGAAAGCCCCATCTTTCTCCTGCAGGGCAGCTGGTGGTTCTGAACTGCAGGCTTTGCAGTTAGCAGTCCAACGCATAACCCCTATGCCAGCAGGGCTCCTTGATAAACTACCAAGATACTTCCTTAAAAAATAATACATTTCTGCTTGAACACTGGGCATAAATCTTATAGACCACCCTTCTGATGTGGTCCCCACCCCCTGCAGGTCCCTGTCCAGCGGCAGGTGCCGTTGAGGCAACACTAACTCACAGTGACCTCAGGTGTGTCAGCGTGGAACTGCGCTCCGTAGGGTTTGCTAGGGAGGAGTTGTTGGAAGCAGGTCACCAGGCCTCTTTTCCAAGGACTGTCTGGGTGGACTTAGACTTCCAACCCCTTGGTCAGCAATTAAACACCTTAAACATCTGCATTACCGAGGGACTCTGGCCGGTACATAGAAGGAGTGCCTTCTTTTCTCTCTGAAATTCTATGTAATAATTTGCTGTATGAGGAGGCTTCAAAAAGCGTGAGGTTATGAAACCCAGGAAAAGAAAAGCTACAGAGACAGTAACTGGATTAAGTGGGGGTGGGTGGGTGGCAGTTCCTTGGGGGTGTGGTGGGGGTGGGGGGAAATGGGGAGCAGATAATGATAAGTACGGGAAAGAAGAAAATGTGCTAAAGTTGATTGTACAACTCTTTCCATATGACTGGACTTCTGGATTGTACGACAGATGAATGATATGCCAATAAGACTGTTAAAAACTGTGAGGAGATATTTCTTATCTTGAAATTCCATTTTCTCATGAAGATCTTGTGTACATAGATGAGCCCAGATTTAAAAGGCACCCCTCTTCATCACTACAGACTCTGGAATGCACCCCCGGAAGATACGGTTCCAGAAACTCACTGTCCATGGTGTGATGTATTAACAAACAAACAAACAAACTCCAAACCAGAACGCTGGCACCGAGTCTACTCTGAATCCCAGTGACCTAGAGGACAGGGCAGGATGGCCTCATCGGGTTTTTCCAGGCTGCAAACATGACACAATCAGACTGCCACACACTTGTCCTCGTGAGGTGACTGGTAGGTTCAAACCACGTCCTTTTGGTTAAAATCCAAGCACTGGACCCCTACTTCACCAAGGCTCCATGATATAAACTAAACTACCTCCTCCCTACTCCTCCCTAATTGCCTACCTTAGACTTTCAAAGATTATCATGGAATTTTAATAGTGAGGGGAAATTCATCCCTTCACACTTTGCATCATTTCTAGACATCTTTAAAAAACAAAACAAAAACAACCACAGTTTTTAAAAACACTTATGACGTCTTAGCCAGCATGAAGAGAGAAGAGAAGCCAGGTGTTTGGGGAAGTTTTACATAGAATTGCTGTAGGGCAGCAATTTGCAAACGACTGGGCTACAAACCTGAGCACAAAAGGCATTTTACAAAGATTGGCTTTAGTAGAATCCTGTGGATAACTCAGCAGAAAACGGCTGCTCAGGCATGTTCCCTAACTTGCAGGTGTGTAACCGCGACTAAAGCAGGTCAGTCTGGGTGAGCCAATGGTCCAGGGAGTAGCCTGCACTATTTTGGGGTTTGTGCCCGGTTCCTATTTCAGGTGTTGATCATAACCTTTAGTGGCTAGGGCCCTGGGCACCTTATGAAGTAGGCATTTCCATGCTTCCCTCGAGAGCCATCATGTCTGGACCTGCTTGTCTCAAACACGGGTCAGGAAGGCAGGGTACATTTCTCCAGGTTGCTAATCCTAGCTCTTCCCTGGGCTATCTAGATTTCCATGAGAATGACTCCCCAAGGTGGGCGTTTGACAAAGATTGCCTTTCCTGTTCTTCACACTGCCTTTAGCTTGTGTGTTTCACGTTTTCTTTTGCCTCTACTGGGTAATCCATAAACCAATCTATACTTTCACCTGCTCCAATAACATGACATCATTTTATCAGAGTTATCTGACACAGCCTGATAGACCAGGAACTTGTCTGTACAAGGAGACAGCAACAGGAACTGACTTGACTCTTCTTTCCCAAAGGCAGCCTGCTGGCTTGATTATTCTTTCCAAAGGGCAACCCTGATGCCTCTGAAGGGTAAGCGCTAGCCTGCCAACTGCAAGGTCAGCAGTTCAAACCCACCTGTAGCCTCACAGGAGTGAGATAGCCCTCTTGCCGCCATAAAGATTTACCACTTTGGAAACCCTAAGTAGGGGTCCTGTAAGTTAGAATCAACATGATGGCAGTATTTTGGTGGTTTTTGTTTTGTTTTTAATTTAACAATTTAAAAATGTGTTGTTGGATTCTATTGGCCAGAATTTTGTTGAGGACTTTTTGTGTGTATGTTCATGAGGGATATTGGTCTGTAGTTTTCTGTCTTTGCTTTTTGCATCAGGGCTATGCTTGCTTCAGAGAATGAGTTTGGGAGTTTGTCTTCCTGCTCCCTATTTTGGACTAGTTTGTGTAGTCCCGGTGACAGGTCTCCTCTGAATACATGGTCGAGTTCCCCTGGGAAGCCATCTCGTCCTGGGCTTTTCTTGGTTGGACGTTTCTTTTTATTTGTTTGTTGATTTGGCTGGATCGTTTCAAAGGCGTCATTACAGCAAAATCCCAAATGCGTGTTAGGACCCCAAGCCCAACCGACGCCTCTACCTTGCAACGCATCTGCTCTGCATGCAGCTCCTCGTGGTGCTCTGGGAAAGGCTGAGAAAGCTTCTTTTTGAAAGTTCTGAGCTTCTCCAGGGAATCAGCTATTCCGTTTTCACATTTTTCCCAGTCCTGCAATGGGAAGAGAATGACATGTCATGGTTTCATTTTGTTAGGAATTTGGAAGAAAATGCAAACACCCACTGGTCCTGATCCCCAGAGAATGAGTGCACAGTGCCACGGTGTGTCCACAGTCATTGCCCTATCGAAGAGCATATGACACAATGGCCGGAGGAACCCGGTGGAACGTGGACTCTGTTGCTTCCTGACTGTGTGGTATTCGACAGACAAGGTTCTGCGTGGCAGCTGCATGGAATCTCTCTATGATTGTTGGAGAACTAAAGAACATGTTATTGAGGCATTGAGCACAATGTCCCAAATAATCTAGATATCGTAAGACAGGCTCAAAGGTGCCTGGGAAAATAGAATTGAAAAGAATGCCACTATTTTCCCACAAACTTTCTGCAGCACACTTGTAGGTACTCAAGACATATAATTTTTATTATAAAAAGGAATCCTGAACCCATCTGAATCCATCTGAAGCGTTAACCACATCTCTTCCCTGTGTGAGCTATGAGAAAATAACTTGTGTTCACAGTCAGCATACTCTACTTCTTTCCTACCCCTACCTATTATGACACCAATACTATCTCAAATACATCGGTACTATCTCTCAGATACATCGGTACTATATCTCAAATACATCGGTACTATATCTCAAATACATCGGTACTATATCTCAAATATATCGGGACTATATCTCAAATGCATCAGTACTATATCTCAGATACATCGGTACTATATCTCAAATACATCGGTACTATATCTCAGATACATCAGTACTATATCTCAGATGCATCGGTACTATATCTCAAATACATCAGTACTATATCTCAGATACATCAATACTATATCTCAGATACAGCGGTACTATATCTCAAATACATCGGTACTATATCTCAAATGCATCGGTACTATATCTCAGATACATAGGTACTATATCTCAAATACATCGGTACTATATCTCAGATACATAGGTACTATATCTCAAATACATCGGTACTATATCTCAGATACATCGGTACTATATCTCAGATGCATCGGTACTATATCTCAAATGCATCGGTACTACATCTCAAATACATCGGTACTGTATCTCAAATACATCGGGACTATATCTCAAATACATCAGTACTGTATCTCAGATACATCGGTACTATATCTTAGATATATCGATACTATATCTCAGATACATTGGTACTAGATCTCAGATACATCAGTACTATATCTCAGATACATCAGTACTATATCTCAAATACATCGGGACTATATCTCAAATACATCAGTACTGTATCTCAGATACATTGGTACTAGATCTCAAATACATTGGTACTATCTCAAATGCATCGTGTTGTTGTTGTTGTTGTTGTTAGGTGCCGTGGAGTTGGTTCCAACCCATAGTGACCTTACGCTCAGCAGAACAAACACTGCCTGGTCCTATGCCAACCTCAAAATTGTTCCTGTGCTTGAAAACATGCATCGTCTGGGATAAATACCAAAATAGAATCTCTTCCAGATTGAAAATAAGTGTGGATAATAAGTATTGAAAATAAGTATGGATAAGAGAAAGGAGATAGACTAGAAAAACCATGGCTGACTCATTTGATATATAAACAGAATATACTAGATATAGTTGACTTGTGGTAGGACCAAAAATTCACAATTGCAGAAGATATGGCACTGGTCTGGTGGGCATGTCTTCCTTGGAACACGTCTCAGTTAAAACCAGTCTGAAGAAAAGAATATCATGCCGGCTTGAGGGGGGCTCAGGAGAACAAACAATGAGCTGAGCTGAATGGATTTACTGGCCCAAACAAGGGGCTCAAACATCCTAACTGTCATGGAGGTGGCATGGGACTGGCCAGCATGCCTTTCCAGTAGGTATAAGGTCACCCTGAACTGGCACTGACCAGAGGGCAACTGACAACCACACATCTTGGTGCGTGGGGGCTTCACAAGGTTCGTGGAAAAATGGAATAAAAAGATAACGTGATTTTCCTGAAAACTTTTTGAAGCCCCCTTATGTGTCACAAGAGATTAAATGTATAATCCATAAAAATAACCAAACACACCAATAAGTGGAGGGAGAGAGATAATGCACCATTTAAGAGACATGTGTCTGCTTTGTCAAGTAGCAGTAAGTACTCTGAAGAAGAAGGTGGCTGGGGACAAGTGACAGCGCAGCCGGATGCGGCTGAGCTCTGTGTGCCGGCAAAATGAAACAGCCAGAGGAGAGTGAGGTTATGTTCTGGAAGGTTCTACACCCTATTTACAATCTGCTCTCTTGGTGCCAATTGGATTCAACAAAACAAGACTCCTTCATTTTTTCCATTAACCCCAATTCCTGTCCTCCTCACCAGTGACCGCTTCTCATGGCAGCCACTCCCAGAGCCCTTCGTTACTGAGCTCCTGGACAACTGCCATCATTTTTGGTAGTTAGCCTACTGTCAAATCATGCTGCCCTTTACTTCACAATGTCCCTCTCATCACCACCAATGTTTTATTGTCTGCAGTCTTTCTATCTGCTCTCCTGAGAGCACCTGAAACCATAAGTGCGATTACAATGATCTTCTATAACAAGTATTGGCTCAAGTGCATCTCGACTCAAAGTGTCTTGGTTTCTTATTTAAGGTGGGAGCCTGGCCCAACATTGTCCCTGCTCTTTATAATTACTTCAGGAAACCTGCTAGAGTGTAAATGTTCCCTCTTCCCACTTACCAGGTGGGGGGGAAAAAAGTTGTTGGTCAGTTTTGGGTCAATTTGTTCCAAGTCTTCCTATTCACACATCCTACTTTCCCAAGTTAAAATTCACCAATTCTTATGATCGTGCGGATAGGCACATATACCAAGAATACAATCTTTCTTCTTATATTTTACAACACTCCCAATTAAATCATCAAATACTCTGATACCTACCAACAGTCAATAATTATTCATTGCTCTGAAAGTAATGAGGGTCGCAACTAATTTTCCTTAACACCACTAAGAAAAGCTATCGAAGCAGTTGGGTTTGTAGGACATAGGATTCTATTGATTGTGTTTTTGGAACAGATACTCAAGCGTTAGCTTAAAAGTTAAAAAGGTATTGTTACAACAGAACGATACACTGCTTGGTCCTGTGCCAGCCTCACAAATGTGGTTGTGTTTGGGCCCATGTTTGTAGCAACTGCATCATTCCACTCTGTTGAGGCTTTTCCTCTCTTTCCCTGAGTCTGTACTGTACTAACCATGATACTGCTAGGGACTCTTTTCCTAGGGACTGGTCTCTCCTGAGCATGTGAGACAAGGTCTTGAATATCTTCATTACAAAAGAGATCAGTATGACAGTTGTGGTGGAGAGCTGGACTACAATGATGTCTCTAAAATGATGCTGTACAAACGTTAAACTTGGGTTTCATACATTTTAGGCACACAGGAGCTAGTGGGTGATCCAATAGATCGCTCTTATTTAACAAGAAACAATAGGAATTTCCCCTTCCAAAGACGGCTTAGGTTCTGAAGCCATCACCAAATCTCTGCTTTTCTTACCGCCAGAGGCTGCCATGAAAGGCAAACCCAGGGACTCAACCAGTACGCGCTATTAAGTTTTGGCACTGTGTCCAAAATCACATCACAGATAAAGAAAAATGTATGATTAACATGTCCTTTACGGAAAGAGATACAATGTGTTTAATCATTTCCTGAAAGCAAAAAAGAAAAAATCAGCAGTATCATATTACTGATAAACTGCGCTGTGTATAAAAAGTTCATTGTAGAAATTAAGTGACTTTTTGATTTTGACATGAATTATTTCCTGTTGTAACTAACTAACTAAGCCACTCACTGTTATTGAGTTGATTTCCACTCATACAGAACACATCAGACAAGAATGAAACGCTTTATGAGAATTGAAAGCGTGGTCTTTCGTCCTGGTTCTTACTGTGATATATTATTAAATAAAATTCAATACTGTAATATATGATTAAATAAACCTCAATGGGTATGTATGACAAGTTTAAGTCTTTCAAAACATAGTCTCTTCCATTTTAAACTTAGTTATACTTTTGGTTGCAAAATAGGAAGTGATAAGCTAACTTCAAATTCCTTAGATAATCTTATTAAAATGTTGCTAATTATCAATTTATATATAAAAAACTTTATATGAGCTTTATCATATAGCATTGTTTGCTTTAACAAATGATGACAATAACATCAACAAAGGTCATTACTGCCATTGATTGATTGTCTAATATATGCTGGGTACTGGGTCACACAATTTTCCTTCATTATTTCACTAATTTGCCCACGGCCACATGAAGAAGGTATAATTATACCCAATCTACAAATGAGGACACTGAGACTTAGGTTAGCGCAGTTATTTAATTTATTGAGTCTGTCACTTAGTGGTGACTAGAATTTATCTCTCTTTAGAGACTTTATTAACTACTTACTTGTGCATTGAATCGGGAGAAAGACAAAGCTTTATACTCCCGTAAAGAGTTACAGTCTTAGAAACCCACAGGGGCAGATCTTCCCTGTCCGATAGGGACACGCTGAGTCAGAATCAACTGGATTGCAGAGTGGGTTTTATGCATTTAATTACGTGTAAATTTGGAGTGCATGAGAGAGAAAAAGCAAATTGTGGGAGGTCTGGATAAGCCTATGTCTTCCTCACTGTATTGAGAGATCCCTATGCAATCTATCCGATGAAGGCAGTGGTTCTCAACCTTCCTCATGCCGCGACCCTTTAATACAGATCCCCATGTTGTGGTGAACCCCCAAACATAAAATTATTGCTACGTCATAACTGTAATTCTGCTACTGTTATGAATCGGGTGACCCCTGTGAAAGGGTGATTTGACCCTCAAAAGGATGGCGACCCACGGTTGAGAACTGCTGAACTAAGGGCTTAATATATCTACTAGCGATCTTATCTCGTAGCAACTTGCTAGGATATCCAAGATGCTCTCAGGAGCCTCTTGGGTAAGTTTCCCCCTGCTATAAAATGAGAGATGCTAATCTTGAAAACCACTTAGATGAGGGTGTGGTGGACTCTCCTCTGAATTCCTGTCTGGATTTATAAAGGCATCACGTGGCTTGGGGCTTAGTACTGACCATTAATCAGAATTCACAGATGGGACAGTTTTATGAGACTTATACTACTTTGAAGGGAGATGTTTCGGGAAGGACCAAAATGCTGTGGTTTGGGAAACTTGCCGTTTCCAGCAAGACAGAACAAAGTCTCAAGTCAGGGAGGCCCGAGTGCTTTCTGAAGGACCTCTGCATTACTTCAGACACTACGTGGCTGGCCGTGAGAGGCAGCAGTATTGCTGGAAAAGGGGCCTTGAGTACCGCCATCAGGGCCTGAGGACCAGACGCGCCTCCGCCTCCGTAGGAGGCAAGAACTCCACTCACTCTCAACAAGAAGGCCAGCTGTCTCTTCTGCTCCTCCAAGCGCACACTGGCGGACTTCCACTTCTCCTGGGTTTCCAGGAGCTCTCCCTGCAGGGCAGCCTCGGCCCCACTGTCCGCCGAGAGCAGGAGCTGCTTGCCGGCCTCCACCGTCAGGATGTAGCTGCCTTGCTGCCGCAGGAAGACTTTCTCTTTGAACTGAAAGGGACCAGACAATGTTTTACTGTCTTGTTCTCTTCTCCACCCTGGCCCCGTTACACAAGCATTTTGAAAAAATCCTAAATTTTGTCTTAAGGAGTCCTGGTAGAAGAATGATTCAGTGGCTAACAGGAAGTTTGACTGTTCAAACCCTACAAACATACAAACTCACTGCCATCACGTCATTTCCAACTCAGAGAGACCCACCCTAGTGGTCAGGGTAGAACTGCCCCTGTGGCTTCCCGAGACTGTCACTCTCTGCAGGAGAAGAAAGCTTCTCAGAGAGCTTTGCCCCAGAGAGGCAAAGGAAGTTTCTTCAAAGTGGTAAGGGCTCACTGCATCTTGAAAGGCATGGTCGCAAATCGATTTGAAAAGACCCATTGTGATGAAAGCTAAGGAGTCCTGTGGGCACCGCAGTGCTTGGCTGCCGACTAAAGATCGGTGGTTTCAACTCACTAGCTTCTCCATGGGAGAGAAATTTGGCAGTCTGCTTTTAGTGAGACAACAGCTTTGGGAGCCCCCTGAGGTCCTTTTTCCCCGATTCTGAAGAGGCCCTTGACACCGATGGGTTTGATTTGGGTTTCGTGTGAAGACAAGAAGGGGAGAGGGGCCCCAAGCAGGGACAGATATGCTCTGCAAATGACAAAATGATGCCTTCAGGAAATTAGATATGGCTTTCTGTGACTAGAGTAATGCATGTATATGTGAGCATGGGAGAAGGTGAGACACAAGAAGTTGGTTTTTAAATAAATAGATTAAAGCAACAAGTCGCAGCCTTGAACCCCCTCGGGATGCCTTCTTCTAAACAGATCTAAACACTGGTCTGAGTGGTTACAAAGCGGGGAGGGTAACAGTGAAGCTGATTCAATGCTTCTGTAGCACATGGGCTAGTTTCTAACAATGGGGTGTGGGGAGGAAAAGTCAATGGGATTCATAAAAGAATATTAAGCAGGAAACCCTCCTTTTGGATTTACGTGTTAATAAAATAAGTTTGCAATAGGGTGGAAACTCAAAGAGAATTAGAACATACATTGGCTGTCCTAAGACTTGGTGGGAATTTATTATTTTCTTTCTAGGAAAGACAGGCTGAGCAAGTAACCTAGGGCAGGGACTGTGGGCATGAGGCCATGGAGCAGGTTGGATGTGGGGAGTGTAGACAGAGAAGGGAGATACAGCCATAGAGTGACTCTGGGACTCCCAGACTGGTAGAGCAGGGAGGTGGTGATGACATTCCCTGGGAGAGAGACGGAACCTGAATGGGAATTGTTGGTATAAAGACAACTGACTCCATTTGGACTCTCTGAGTGCACGGTGTCTGTACAACACAGGGAAATAAATCCAACAGGCAGATGGATCTATAGCCACATTCTCCTAGGAGAATGGAGGTGACCGGTCGATCCCCATTTGATCCCTTTCTGCTGGTCGGGGTGGGAGATGTCCACCCTGTGAGTGAGGACTCCCAGAGAAGGGAGGAGGAGGAGCAGCAGGGCAGCCTTAAAGGAGGAGACGTCCATGCCGTCCACTAGGACAGATGTCTCAGCGTGCTGGGCCCTGTCTGTCTGTCCGAGTCCAGCTGCTCGGGCTGGTGAAAGTAGGAGGCTCCCTCGGAAGGGAGGTAGCATCTCACTGCCCGGCGCCCTTTATCGTCTCTGCGAGATGTATGCAAGTTGCCCATTAAAATCGTCTCTGCATGATTATCATCAATGTTACGTTTTCCTGATCTTGCCTTCCCATCCACTGAGCTGTTGGGTGGCCTCAGCGCGTGATCTGGGGAGAGGCTGGGGCTGAATGGCACACCAGCCTTCAAGGCGAGCTTTGTCCTGCATTCATTTTGCGAGTTTCTGCTGACATTTGAGATCCCTGTTTGTTCCGATGCTATGGGCACTCCACCATTCCTCTGGAGAACTGAGGTTAGGGTCAAGTGGGCAGCGGAAACACACAAGAGGTGTAACCACAGCGCGGTTTTACACCTTACCTGCACTTCATCAAAGAGGGCCCTTGCTTGTTGCAGGGGGACAGGGACGCTTCTGAGACCACTCGTGGGTAAATAGGACACTTCACCCAGCCATTTGCGGAGCTTCTCTGCCATCTCCCGATAGCGCTGCCACTGGCGAATCTGGCTATCGATGATGCCACGCCGCTGCTGGGCTCTGCGAATCACACCCTGCCACTGGTTACTGAGCAGCGTCAACTTCAGGTTGAACTCGTCCCTGTGGATGAAGTCGGTCATCCCGTGGTGAGAAGCACTCCTCTGTAGTTGCACTGAAATAACCAGTCACCGCCCACCTAATTAGTGACCCAAGAGGTGACCCAGGGCAGCAGGTTTCAAGCACCCTGCTGCAATCGGCTAGCGGGTCTATTGTAGGTCATTTTAAAAATGAATAACATGGAAATGACTGTGTTTGCAAATGATCAGTGTCTTTATGGATCAGTAGGACTGAAGGCATTGTTAGGTACCCTGGTGTGGATTTTAGGCACTTCACAACCTAATGCAATAAAACAGAACTGCCCCCACCCCCCCTTAGGATTTTCTAGGCTGCGCAGCTCAACGGTCAGCTGCTAACTGAAAAGGTGGCAGTTCAATCCCACTCAGTGGCTCCGAGGAGAAAGACCTAGTGATTTATTCTCATAAATATTATACCTAGAAAACCCTATGTGATAAGAAGTCTTGCCATCCTTGCCTCTCTGGTGCCTGGAGAAGGGCATCATGCTTTGTAAAGTGGATGGGGCAGAGAAAAAGAAAGGCCTTTGATGGACCATACAGCGGCTACAATAATGGGCTCAAACCTGAGCACAATTGTGAGGAAGGCACAGGACCGGAGAGTGTGGGGTTCTGTGAGTTGAAATCAAGTTGATGGCACCTAGCAACAACACAGCATCACAAAACTCCATGGGAGCAAGTCTCCTCTGCCGCGGGCGCTGGAACAGACTTGCCCGCACCCAGTAACAATCTTGAAGGCAGCGGATTGGGAAGTCTTTCTCACGCTGAGTTTCCGGGGGGTTGAACGGGAAAAAACACTGGGTTAGTAGTCGAGAGCTTAACCTTTGCCGCCAGGGCTCCTGGCTTGCTGGTTTTCTGGAAAAAAACAAAAACCCTCATGGCCATTCACTACAGATGGGGTGTGGGTGGGGGGGCGTGGTATGCGGCAGGGGCCAGGCAGGGGCTGCAAATGCCAAGCACAGGCTTCATGATATGTGCCGAGGCAGGAAAATGGTGGGGAAGGACTTGTGTATACCTCTGTCTTCAGCTGGAAACATAAGCCCCTCTGGAAAGGTGACACTGGGTGAGTTTAGCTAGAATCCTAAAACCAGAGCCACAACCAACAGTCAACTCTGACTCTTCGGGAGCCTACAGGACAAAGTAGAACAGCTCCTGGGGGGTGGCAAGGTGATACATCTTTTTAATTTATTTTTTAACCAGCAAACTAATTACAGCTTTATTGATCAGTGGGGCAGAGGGAGGCCCCTTCTTACAAAGGAATTGGCAGGGATGGCTTCACATGTTCATTTCCAAGTAACCATGTCATAAAGGAGAAACAGAAAGGCTGTCCCACTGAGATGCAGAAAAGAGGCTCCTAAAAAAAACCGTCTTGATGGCTACGAATCACAAGCTGGCAATGTGGTGCAGGAGACCCTTAACGGTGGGGACAGTCTCCTTTTTTTTCCCTGTAAAGTGGTTGAGTAGCGTCCCAAGGGCTTCAACCACGATGCCACCAGGTATCCTTAAGCTTATTAAATGAAAGAGTGGGATTTAAAATTATCTTTAAAAACACAACTCCTGAGACTGCGTCTGAGCATCCCTCACAATGAGTACAGCCACTCTTCAGTTAAGTATTTCACCTACGGATTGGAATTTCCCATTCGGCTCCTTAAATCCACTTCCTTCAGCTTGCTTTACTTAGAAAAGTAAGACCGCTTCTTGCGTGCTTTGGATATGTTGTCAGAAGAGACCAGGCCCTGGAGAAAGCCTCATGTATGGCAAAGGGCAGGGGCAGCGTCAAAGAGGAAGGCCCTCATGGAGACGGGTGGACACAGTGGCGGCTAGCAATGGGCTCGGGCACAGGAACAGGTGTGGGGATGGCGCAGGATCGGGCAGAGTTTTGTTCTGTGGTGCACAGGGTCGCTATGGGTCGGAGCCGACCCGATGGGACCTAGCAGCACCACCAGTCCTCCCCAATGGTGTAACGGGGGCTCATATCCTGAGAGGTAATAGATATGGCTGAGAATTTAATTTCTCTTTTCTTACGCCTGTGCATTCTGACTTTGAAAAAGACCAGCAGCTCAGGCAGAACTTTCCTACAGCCTTCGATCGGTACCCCTAGAACTGGCTAGTAAGGCAGGCCCCACATCAAACAGATGACAGGGCTGTTTGCACAGTTTAGCACTAAAGCTAAACCTTGGTATTTTCTTTTGTAAAACCATTTTACTGACAGATAATGCACGTATTGTAGAATTCAATAGTTCCATCATATTAAAAGGTCTACAATCACCACACTCAATTTTAGAACATTATCTTCTTTCTTGTACAAATTGTTATTAGCTCCCCATGTCACCCCAATCTCCCCTGCCATGTCCCCAAGGAACCATTAATTCAGTTATTACCTCTATCAATTTACTTATCCTAGATTTCATATACAGAAAAACATACTGGGGGAAAAAACCCAAAAACAATTACAAAGTAAAACAGAAAAACCTCAACTGAAAAGAAACCAGAAAAGAGTAAGAACTAGAATGAATTCAAAATGGGTCAAGAGGGAGATCAAATGACAGGGTGTTACACTGTGCCCTGAGTGCGCCTGCAAGAATCCACACTCCGTGCTCCTCCCGGGTCTAGATGCCCAGAAGGGATTCACCAGAGGCATCACTAATATATCTCCCCGTCATTTTTTTTAAAAACTGCAATAGCTTGAAAACGGGACCAAAGAAAAATCAAATGATAAGCTATTATATTCTAATCTAACCACCTGCCATGATCCACCTTACGATGCTCTCTGTCTATAGTGATAACACGACTATTCACATCCTGTGACTAGGGTCGGAGGGGAATCACCAGAGGCTTAATCAACAGGTGGGTCCTGTGAATGGATTTTGGACTCCACTGTCATCCATCACCTTCTGCAAACTGACTTTTCACAACTTAAGCTCTGATACCATTCCCTCCGTTGCCTTTAGATATGATTAATGGGTCACACAGGCTGGTGTGCTTCTTCCATGTAGACTTAGCTGAGGCTTTGCATTTTCTTGATGATATCTGTTTTGTTTCCCCCTAAGATATGACGATCTCGCTTCTTGAGCATGGCTTCAAATAAAGATTGGGCTTATTCCGATATTCGTATACTCTATTATCCAGGACAACGATACCCTTTGATTCTGTTACCAAATTGTCCTTATTCTTAAAAATATGTTTAGTGACTCGACCTAAACAGAAAGGTGAAGACATAAACTCACTGCCCTCCAGTTGGGTCTGGCTCACAGGGACCCTTTGGACAAGGTAGCCTTGCCCCTGTGGGCTTCCAAGACTGTAACCCTTTATGGGCGCAGAAAGCTTCATCTTTCTCCTAAGGAGTGGCTGGTTGTTTAGAACTGCTGACCTCGTGGTTAGCAGCCCAATTCATAACCCATTACACACCACCAGGCCTCCCCAAACTGTCATCTGAGCAGTAAAAACTACAGCCCAACAAGGATGGGCTAGATACATAGTCAGTGCCAAACACCGCCAGAAGGTGACCGGTGCTTGCAGTTCAAAGTAATGAGGGGAAGCTGCAGGAAAACAAGTATCATACACTCTCATTTTAGAGTCAGATTTGGTAGTCACGCCTAGTTGTGAGCAGTAAGTGTGATATCTGTAATCACTGGCGATGAGATTCCACATGCAATGAGTTAGGTTCCTGGGATATTCCTCAACGTTGCAAGCACCTTCTGACTGTGTAGAAGCCTGAAGTGTAGCTTCTATACCTGGAAGTGTAGAAGGTTAGCCCTGAGAGGGTTTTAGTGCTTGGAAGAGCCAACCAACAGCCAGTTGCTGTTGAGCCCCAGCTGGCTCATGGCGCCCCCATGTGTGCTGGAATGGAATTGTACTCCACAATGGCTGATTTTGTTGATGGCTGTTTTGTTGGAATTAGAGTGGGATCTTGTCTTTCAAAGAGTTTCTGGGTTGGTTCAGGTGACCCACCCATCAACTATCCGAGATCTCTTCTGGGTGGGTTCAGGCGACCCACCCATCAACTATCCAAGACCTCTTTTGAGAGCTTATTCTCCTTTGTATAATCAAACTGTCCTGAATGACCTGCCGCTGCAGTATCTACTTAAAACAACATTGTTCCAACTTCAGAAGTTGAAGCTCTAAAACCCAAACTTACAAAATAACGTTCAGAACACAATACACTTAGAATTGGGGGTCGTCCTGTGTTCAACATGCTCCAGTTGAATGTTCTTTTTTTTTAACTTGTAATTTTAAAAATTCTTTCTCTTCAGGTCCAGCACTCCTATCTCCTTTCCTAAATTCTCTGCTTAAGGCTTAACAGCTGCTGGCTTGCACCTGAATTTTACATTTTATTTTGCTTAATGACTCAAACGCTTATACTATTGTTGTAGTGTTGGCTAAGGGAAAATAAAGCAAAAAGATAAAAGTTAACTGCATTCTGATTTATTTTATTTTGATGGCCTTGCCTTCTCAGTAAAGCTTACATGGAAATTTGGCTGCCTTAGAACAGAATAAATATGGTATCACATTTTGTTGTTCCAACCTTAACCACAAAAGTCTTTCAAGTGCTTCCAAAGAAAGAGCCAGTTAAAAATGGAAAATGCTTCCAAAACATTAAAAGCATTTCAATAAAATAATGATTTATTTCTGGAAAAAAATGTTTTTGGAATAAACAAAACAACAAGCTTATTTTAATTACAACTTCTAATCCTAAACATGGGAAAGATACTTCTATGTAAGAAAATCGCCTAGGCTTATTGGCTCAGGGAGATTCCCTGGGTGTGTATGAACCATTAAACATCCGATTGCTAGTCAAAAGGTTGAGGCCGTGAGTTCATCTCCAGGCACCTCAGAAGAATGGTCTGGTGATCTCAGCCGGTGAAAACTACAGGGCACAGTTCTCTAACTCACGTGGGGTCATCATGAATCGGAGCCAACCCACTGGCAAGAGGGGTGATAACCCAAGTGTAACTCAGAAAGTAGGCAAGCTATAGTAAAGTTTGTTCTCCAAAGATGTAGATATGTTATGAAAATGGTTAGTTCACAAGTCACAAAAGCTTGAAAAAGAGGCAAGTGGGTTTTAGAACAGAAGTTTTAATAAAGGGAGAATCTTCCGCATAAATTAAGAAAAAGCAGGATTTCATGTTGAACGTCATCTGATAATTAGCAAACTATGCTCAAGCAAGACTGATATAGGCAGTATGGGAAGGCTGACTGATTCAACACTAAATAAAATTCAGATCCACTGGGTTCGAGGCCAGATTCGGCTGCTATTGAGTTATATGACCTTGGTCACCTCAGCTCACCTTTCTGGGCCTCAGGTTTTCCATCTCTGAGGGAGAGAGATGAACTAGTGGTAGCCAAGCTCCACTTAGGTATAGCATTTCCACAATTCTATGAGAATATTAGACACATCTGTTTATAAACCCACACAACCTCGCTGATCCAATTCCTTCTGACCTGTTCATGAAGGCCGGCCCCTACAGATGACTAGCTTAGGTTGGCTAGCTGCTTTCCAATTACTCTATGTCCTTCATACAGTATAATAGCAGTTCTTTAGAAAAATTCAATACTCAAGTCATTTCAGAGATTCAGATAAGTCCTTTCCTCCAATTACTTAGACTCCACTGCTGCCCAATTGCCTTAGGAAGATTGGCTCAATACCTCCTAATCTGCTCATTAAAAAGAAAATGACCAATTTACCGGAACCTTCCTTTATCATGAAACCTACCGGTCATCAACTTGCCCTTGCTCCAGCAGACGCTGCCCGTCCAGGATGATGGAGTGCAAAATCTGCTGACGGCTGAACATCTCTGCTTGAAACAGCTAGCATTGGAAACAAGAACACATTTTAGAAGTCCTCTTTCTAGGTCCCATCCTCTGAGGAGAGCTCCCCAAATATTCTGATCTCATCCAGACTCATAACAACCCCTTCCGCCATCCTGGGCTCTCTCTGTGACCCTGCAGTGTAGGAATCAATGAGTTCTGAAGCACGCAGGCAGCCAGGCATGAAGATAAAAGTATGGATTTGGTGAACTGAAACCAAGTCCTTAAAGGACAGTCCTCTTGCCCTCTTGCTTTGAAAGGCAACACCATAACGTTAGCCGATGCCCTCTTATGTGCTTGCTACTATATCCCATATGCAGAACAGCCCCATTTTTAGGTACAGAGAAGAGCTTAATACCTTTAAAAGGGGAAAACACGTTCTGTCCTCCTTGCCCAAAGATGTACTGTTTTCAATGGAATCAAAGCCCACTGTCTGTCTGAGTCAATTCCGACTCATAGAGACCCTATAGGACAGAGTAGAATCTCTCTCTAGGGTTTCTCTGATTGTCCGTCTTTGCGGGAGCAGGCAGCCCCACCTTTCTCCTGGGTTGTGGCTGAAGAACTGACCTTCCGGTTGGTAGCCCAATGGTTAACCTGTGGTGTCACCAGCGCTCCTTTTGAATACAATTAACCACACCAAACTTGCTGACTTTGAGTCCATGCTGAGTCATCGTGGCCCCCGTGTGGGTTCCTGAGGCTATACCTGTTAATGGGACTAAAAAGCCCAGTCTTTCTCCCGTGGAGTTGGTGGTGGTGGTTTTGAACTGCCGACCATGTGAAGCACAGCCCAAAGTATAACCACTACACCACCAAGGCTCCTGTTCAATATAATTAGGTTAATACAATTATTTCACTATTTTCAGGGCTTTCCATTGTCATTTTGGTTTACAACTTAATTTAGATTTAATTCACATAGTAGACACATCGTCCATTTAAAGTTTACAATTTGACGGCTTTTGACATTTTTAGAGTTGTATCACCCTCACTGATATCAACTTCAGAACATTTCTGGCACCCCTGAAAGAAATTCTGCACCCATTGTTACTTTATTCCACGTTATCCCAGCTCCACCTTATCCACTGCTGGGGAGTTGATTCTAACTCACAGCAAAGCTGCAGGGCCGCCTGGAACTGCTCCCTAGGGTTTGCAAAGTTGTAGCTCTTTATGGGAGAAGATCGCTCCCTCTTTCTCCTGCAGGATGGCCTTTGGATTCAGACTGATGACCTTTCAGGTAGCAGCCCAAGGTTGACCCCACTGTGCCGCTTTCCCAGGAAGGAGCACTGAATCCCTGAACTCCTCTGCCCTTGCCTAGTGCAGAGTCCTGTGGACTGTGAGAGTCAGAACTGAAGGCGCTGGCCTTGTGTTTCTGGGTCTCTCACATTTCGGCCTTTGACAGGCTGCAGTCCGACCCCTTTCCTATCATTCTTTGTAGTGGAAACGATGTGAGCTTCCTTCTCTGACAGGTTTCCACCTTACCCAGCATCTGGTTGTGCAGACTGGACGCTCTTCGGCTCCAGAGCAAAGAGCAGGAGCCCAGTTTTGCAATTAAGATGGCAAAACCTTAAGCTTAAGAAAGAAGGCAAGACTGAAGAAAGAGTTGTATAAAGAGGCCACAGCAGTGAGAGGATCTCAGTGGCTCCTTGGGAGAAAGATGAGATTTTTCTACTCCTGTGAAGGTTTTCTGTCTCTGTAACCCCCAGGGGGCAGGTCTATGTTGTCCTACAGGGTCATTGCGAGTCAGACTCTATTCATGAGCAGTGAGTTTCTGACATAATGCTTTAAAGCAGGGGTCCTCAAACTTTTTAAACAGGGGGCCAGTTCACTGTCCCTCAGACCCATTGGAGGGCCGGACTATAGTTAAAAAAAAAAACTATGAACAAATTCCTATGCACACTGCACATATCTCATTTTGAAGTGAAAAAACAAAAGAGGCAAAAACACCCGGGGGGCCAGATAAATGTCCTCGGCGGGCCACATGTGGCCCGCGGGCCGTAGTTTGAGGATGCCTGCTTTAAAGTATCTCATCCCAGCCCTTAAGCTTTGCCTGTTTTCTTAAAAGCTGCTGGCTGAACTTACCTCATGAGCCCTCTGCTGTTCCAGAAGGTGTTGATAATTGCCTGAAATCTCCACGGCTAGTTTCTGCTCTGTTTGAACCAAGAACTCCATCCATGTTTCGCATTTTTCCAAGAAAGTTTGATGTTGTAACAGAAATGACTGCAGCTTACTGACAGAAAAGGGGATGGAGACTAATGTTATTGAATTGCTTATTTTTCTATGTCTAGCAGATAAAACAGGACTAAGTACTCGTCTGTCTCCAAGTCTAATTCAACCACCACAGAGCTTATCAGTGAAGGGATAAAATTTAAAGGGGAAAACAAGAGGAGAATGCAAAACAATAAATAGTTTTTAATATGATTTTTTTAGTGGTTACAAAAACCATGCCTATACCTCGAATGTATTCTTATTTAAAAGATATCTCTCCTCCTGGATAAAATAATATTTAGTACATTAAACATATGGGAGAAAGATAGGGTTTTCTGGCACCGTAGAGATTTGCAGCTTTGAAAAGCCAAAGGGACAGTTTTACTGTGTCCAACAGGGTCTTTCTGAGGGGGACTAACTGGGAGGTGGTGGGTTGGGCTTTACGCTAAACATGGAAATACACTTACACATTTTTATCTTTGCCACTGCTAGTTCTAATTTTGTCGGTATTGTTCAACGTTCTTAGAATGGATAAAGACAGAAAGATCAAGGGCTCACAATGTACACTGCTCTATTGAATTGGCCCAAACAACTCTTGGTTAGCCCAAACAAAATCCACTGCTGTGCAGCTAATTTTCATTTATGGTGACTCCACAGGGCAAGGTGAACCTGCCGAGGAAGTTTCTAAGGTTTTCTATATAACCTTATGGAAGCAGACTGTCACACCTTTGTCCCAGGGAGTGGCTGATGGGTTTATCCTACCTGAATCTTTCTGTCGTCTGCGAGGAAATGAGAGACCAGTGGCGATTCAGGTTCTGCATCCTTTTGATTTCCTTGTCACTCAGGGGTAACCTGTACCCGAGTTCGTTCAGGTGGTCTAAATCTGGAGCCATACTGCTGAATTTTAACATCTGCCCCTGGAACCAAGATGGAAAGACAGACTTAGACCCTTCAGGCAAGGGAGAGCTTCCTCCATGCACGTCACATGTTGGACGTCACGGAGATGCTGATAACTGTGGTCCTCCCATGCAAAGACATACTTGAAATTCCGAGGTACACACAGGGGAAAGCCAGGCTGGGTCTCCCTACCAGCTGAATTCCGTGGCTGTGCCATGCTGTGAATCCAGCGTGTGTTCTTCTTCAGTGAATGGCTCACAGCTTCTGTCTATGGCCTTACTAACTTGACTTATATCCTCATCAGTCTTTCTTGCTGGAGTTGAGGAAGGATGGACATCACACTGGATGACCCCCGAAAACCACTGCCCTCCGATCAGCTTTAAATTTAAGCCCGTAAACCAGAAACATCTCCCCCCTGAAACCTTTGAACCAAACAGCACATTAGCTTGACCAGTCAAGAGCGTCCGCATGGCACTCTTTAAAAGAACTTTCTAGAAAGGATCACACCAGTTGAAAGGTTAGATAGGAAGTTTGGGAGGACGTGAGGTGGGGTCAGGAAGGGCAGAACAGGTTAGAAAGAGCAGTGGAACATGGCTGGACAAGGTGGAGAGGTGTCACTATAATGCAACTGAGGCCAGAGTAATGACATCAAGGCCACTCTAAAGTCCAGGATGAAATTATTGACTTGGTGGGGATTTTGCCATGGGTATTTTCAGCCGTAATAATGCTAATAAAAGACAAGTCCCTTATGGAGGTAGAGAGAGCCAGATTAAGCTAGACTTCAGCAGCCATGTTGACCTTCATCCCAAGAGCAAGGGCAACCCATTCAGAGTTTTCCATGGGGGGAGGGGGAAATATGATAAAATTCGCATACCAACCGTATGGTGTTATTTACTTTAGCTAATGTTTGGGATAGCTCATAATTCAGTAAACAAAAAAATCATAGAGATCCCTGGGGGCTGCTGGACAAGTTGGGAAGACAGATCAACACGGCGGCGTGAGGTAGAGGAGCAAGAAGGGAGAGACGGAGAAGCAGGTTCAAGAGTTCATTCGGCAGCAATTGGTTGCCCGAGGCAGTGGGGAGACAAGAGGTAGGGCTGGAGGAGATGTGAGGTTGTTTTCCAGGCTCAGTCCTGGCGAGGAGCTCTACATGGACTGCCAACACATAGTTAGTCGTGGTGCTAACTCAGGAGTTTTGAATTTTCCCTCAGGCTTGCAGTGAGAAGACATGGGGTTACAATTCTGATGCATTTACCTTAAGCTCTTCCATCCTTTCCCGGATAGTTGAGAGGTCTGACGAGTGGCTAGGGTCCTGTCCTTGCAGGATTTCTTCAGCTTCCACTGTCCAGGCCTCCAACCCTTCTAAACTCTTGGCAAAGGTTTCGTAATCAAGAACTCCAGCCTTTTGTTCCCCCCACAAAAGAAAATTGTTATTTCGAAAGTTAGTAAAAAGACCACGGCTGTTAGAATTATTTTTATATTCTTTTTATCAAATTGTCTTTCTCTCTCTCTCTCTCTCTCTTTTTAAAATTTGTCTCCCTCTGGAAGAAGCACACCAGCCTGTGTGACCACAAGCTGTTGAAGGGAACAGGGATCAAGCATCAAAGAACAAAAATCATATCATTGTAAATGTGGGTGAGTGCAGAGTGGAGACTCAAAGCCCATTGGCAGGCAACTGGGCACCCCCTTACTGAAGGGTTGTGGGGAGGAGATGAGCCAGTCAGGGTGCAGTGTAGCAACAATGACACATATAACTTTCCTTTAGTTCTTAAATGCTCCCTCCCCCCCTTCACTATCATGATCCCAATTCTACCTTACAAATCTGGCTAGACCAGAGGATGTACACTGGTACTGATAGCAACTGGAAACACAGGGATTCCAAGGCAGATGACCCCTCCAGGACCGGTGGTGAGAGGGGCGATGCCTGGAGGGTGGAGGGAATGTGGGGTAGAAAGGGGGAACCTATCACAAGAATCTACCTATAGCCTCCTCCCAGGGGGATGGACATCAGAGAAGAGGGCGGGGGGGGGGGGGGAGACGTCAGACAGTGTAACATATGACAAAATAGTAATTTATGAATTATGAAGGGTTCAGGAAGGAGGAAGGAGTGGGGAGGGAGGGGGAAAATGAGCAGCCGATATTAAGGGCTCAGGTAGAAGGCAAATGTTTTGAAAATGATGATGGCAACAAATGTACATTTGTGCTTGACACAATGGAGATATGTATGGATTGTGATAAGAATTGTACGAGCCCCCAATAAAATTTTTTTTAAATCAGAAAAAAAATTGTCTCCCTGATATCCATTTCAGTCTTTTAATTAGTTCAGAGCTCATGTAAATAAAGCATTTTATTCATTAAACCCTTGAGCCTCAACATTTATTTTTTAATTTCCTGGAACCTTGTGAAGTATATGCACAGAGAATTTTCGGGACAAATATAAAACTTTCCGAAAGCAAGGATTCTAGTATGAAGTGGATACTGTACTTTAGGAAATTCAGGTTATTTCTGGCGTTGTCCTTGGAAGGTTGGTGTAGTTTTGTCTACAGATGAAGAGCTATTTTGTATAACCAAGGTTTTAAAATATACAAATAGAAAATATATCTTGTATTTGCAGATACAGATGCTCAAGCTGTAGCAAATGCCAGATGATCAGCCCGGACCAAACATGCACCTTTAAGAAATGAAGAAAGGCTGATTTTTTACCTCAGCAATGTTAGCTATGTTGGCTTAGGCATGTAAGATAACAGAGCTTTACTTTAAACACTCCAATAAAACTTGGTAGTGCAGGCAAGGCTCAGATAGGAATTAAATATTTTCAGACTTAGGAAGGGAAGTATGTTTGTAATTTCATAGTATATATTATTAACTTAGGTAAATAAAAGATTAAAAAGTTAAAAATCAGGTAGGTTTCGCATAGACGGCTATTGCTGTTGAATTGATTTCCACTCTTAAGTGCCTCAGCAGGACAGAGTTCCCAAAGCTCGGATCTTTTTTGTTCTTTCTTCTTTAGACTATTCTGATTCTTGCTCAAATGTAAATCATATAAACATGAATATTATTATTAGGGTCACAGCATTTATCAACTGACAGTATTCTACTGCGTACCATGGAAGCATATGTTGGCTTAGGGAGTAAATTATGTTGGTGAGGGCAGTTCCACTGAATATTATTATTAGGGTCACAGCATTTATCAACTGACCGTATTCTACTGCATACCATGGAAGCATATGTTGGCTTAGGGAGTAAATTATGTTGGTGAGGGCAGACTTCCATCTTAGTTTATTTAGTTACTTAAAAATCCTCTGCTGCTGAAGGAAGCATATGTCAATGGTGGGAACATCTCTTCCTGTGTGTACGCCCAAGCATTATCACGCACCTGGTTTTTTAACACCTACTAAATGCGAGCTTGTACCTGTAGCGTTGTCTGCTGCTTGCAGAGAGCTTGCTCGAGGGTGCCCAAGTGTTGACTCAAGGAGAGTTGATCAGACTGAATGGCTGATGCAGCAGAAGCATTGACTTGTTGCTTGAGTTGCTCTCCCAGCTCATGGAGAACAAAAAGAGAATCCTTAACGGTCCCTAGTCCTCTGAGGAGCTCCTAGACAAAATGAAAACATGGTAAGTGCACGTCTTAGGATCAACGGTGGACAGCGACAGGCCAAACATCTGGAAGGCCTGGAATCTTTTTTGCCAAGTGATTATGCAAGATAATCTTCCCTTGAAGATAATATGCTTGAGAGTGGATGATCGCCCCCCTTCAACTCTGAAATGACCACAGACTACCCAGAGGTCTTCAGACTTAGGTCTTTGACTCCAACTTCGGAGCTGCTGAGATTCAATGGCGATCTCAGCGTATGCTTTCAAAGTGTATTCTCCTTTGTGACACTAAACAAAGGTACTTGTTCTGGTTGCCCATGGGCCTCCTTAGCTTCTCCCAGGATACTGCGTACAAGTAGGAAAAAATGTGAGGAAATTTTCATCTATAGGGGTTTTTACCTCTTGGCAGCCTTGCGAGAAAGATTATTCTTCTCAAACAAAGAATGAAGGCTTCCCAATCATGGAAGTCAAAAGCATGAACGGTTATATGGTGGAACTCCCTTGGCTTAAAATCAGCTGTGAACTTAATTCAAAGATACAATCCCTCTTTCTCTTGTTGCTTTCAGAGAGCAAGATACCAGTCATCCAGCAGACAAATCGATGTAGTCACCCAATCATACAAAAAGGAGTACACACCAGGTATAACTGAAGACAAAGATCAGTGTGCTATGTGTATCACTGGAGCCTAAACATGAGACAAACTCTTCTTTTGAATAGTGAGTATGTGCATGAACATATCTTTAAATAGAAATATCCATGTAGAAGAGGGTACCCAAGAAAACTGGAAAAAGCTCCACTGGGCAGAGCTTTTATAGTATGTATTTTTCCTACTAGGCAAGCATTGGGCAACTCCTGAGTTAGTGCACCTAGTGGCGTCATCTGGGAAGGTTCTCTCTGGTCATAGTGAGTTTTTTGTAAAAGCATTTCACTTGTTTTTTGTGATGGCCAATTTAAGAGAACAGCATGCAGCTGTGAAATTTTGATAACTTCTCAGGAAAAGTGCTACAGAAAGTGTTGTGATGTTGAATACAGCTTACAAGGCAGGTGCTATGAGAAAAACTCAAGTGTACAAGTGGTTTTCTCATTTCAAAAAAGGTGAAATGTCAATTGATGACAATCCTCACTCTGTCAACTTTCCAAAAGGACAACAATGTCAACTTGTAGTACATTTAGAGCTCGTTCCACCAGCTCAGACTGTTAATCAAACTTTCTATTTAGAGGTTCTGAAAAGATTGCATAACCGTTTGCTACAAAAAAGGGCCTGATTTGTGGCAGACAAAGTACTGGTTTTGCCACCACGACAATGCACCTGCTCACCTAGCCATCTCGGTGCGCCAGTTCTTGGCAAAAAAAACCCAGCATGCCTCTCTTACCTCACACACCTTACTTCCCTCATCTGGCTCAGTGCCACTTCTTTGTATTTCCACTAATGAAGAGGGACATGAAAGGACAGCAATTTGACAATGTAGAAGAGGTGAAGAAAAAAAACGAGGGAGGTGCTGTCAGCCATCAAAGAAAGGACTTTGAAAAATGTTTCCAAGAACGGAATTGCAGATTTGACAAATGTATTAAGTGTGATGAAGCGTAGTTTGAAGGGGATAAGGTTGTTGTGTAAAAATATGTAAATACATAGCTTTGGGGGGAAAATCCAGTGTTCATTTGTAAGTTTATATGTATAGCTTTGATTTTTAAAAAGCAAACAGTTCATGGGAACTTGCAGAAACACAAACATACACCAGAAAAAAGGAACATTATTTCGGTGCCCCTGCCTCCTCATGTCACTGGCACACTACTCTGTTATTTTTTTTCTACTTAATATTATTATCGTCTATGCGAAGAATTCATTTATTAGTAGTATCTTCTGGATATGCAAGAAGGCTTCAAAAAGTTGTTGGGAAAAGTCCATTATTTTTTCATTTCCTTTTTCCATCAACCTGCTGAGACTCCTTCTTGTGGCCGCATTGTAGTATGTATAACAGCGCCTGCCTCCGTCAGTGGGGATGTGGAGACCCGACCCCCCTGCCCCCAATCCTGGCAGTTTTGGTGAGCAGAGGATAAGAGAGCATCGTCATCGGTTTTTCAGGGTATCTCTAGCTTCAGTTTTGCTGGGACATCCCTTCTCTGCTCAAAAATGAAAATCAATGGAATTTTCCTGTGTCCAGTTTCCATCTACAACTACACAGTCTGACTCATGGTGACCATTTGTGTCTCAGAGGAGCACCGGGCTCTGTAGGGTTTTCAGTGGCTGACTTTGGGGGAGTGGGGGGAGTAGATTGCCAGGTCTTTCCTCTGAGGCACTGCAGGGTGAATTTGAACCTCCAGCCTCTCAGTAAGCAGTCTAATACACTAGTCACCACACCAGCCAGCCACGTTCTTTCTACGATGGAGAGAGGACAGTTGATGAGAAAGGGCCTGGGGAGAGCCCTGTTGCTGGTGATGGACACAGAGGCACAGCCAGTCAAGCTGAAGCAGTGGGTTTGTCTGTGTGTTTTGGTTCTAGGTGAAGGATAAGACAAGGCTTGAAGTAGGTTACTGGCTGCGAAAATGAAAAGGAAACATAGTCAAAAGCTATGAAGACAAAATATATCTATGAATAAGGAAACCTGGTGGTGTTGCGGTTAAAGTGCTTTGCCACCAAACATAAAGTCAGTGGTTCAAACCCACCAGCAACACTCCCGCAGAAAGGTGTGGGCTGTCAGCTTCAACAGAACTTAGACATGGACCCTCTATGGGGGCAGTTCTACGATATCCAATCGGGACACTATGACTCCATGTCTACTTGACGGCAGTGAGGTTGGTTTGGGGGTTTTAAACCAACAGACCAGGAAAGAGAGGCTGGTTTCTACCATGCATGTCTTAGAATACATTATTGTGAAGAATAAGAGGTACTGAACCCAAATGGACAATGCCTTTAACCCTGGATTCTTAAAAGATTACAGAATCATTCCCACCATGGTCATTTTTTTATAGTGACCATCTCAGGCAAAACGGATAGCCTGATCTTTCACATGCACTCCGCTGGGGAAAATGGGAGCTCAAGTCATCTTTAAAAATGAGCCATGGAAAGGGTCCTCTTTGGTGTGATACAAGTACAACTGTATTCGAGAACCAACCAGGCCCTTTGATAGTTAAAACTTTCTCCTCTCCTCTCCTCTCTCTCTCATAACTGTTCTACACACTGAGATACACCAAACGCTGGCACCCATCTCCACCGGCCCGATGTGCATGTGGCGTGAGAATGGCCAGTGAGAGAAACACGGTCGTTCCTGAACATACGTTGCAGTCTTGAATCCACGCGGCAACTTCTTCGTCCCCGAGGTCCTTGTTGGTGGCGGCCTTCAGCAGCTCATTGCTTTGACTCTCCTGCTGCTGAACAGTGGACGCACACTGTTGGGAATAGTCCTTGTACCTTTGCCAGAGCTGAAGCAGGGCCTTGCTGGAGTGGAGCTGCTCAGCTATCTCTTCCAGCAGGTGATTCCATCTGGAAGCAAGAGCCAATATCATGAGCGGGCCACCCCTATCCCCAAATGGGGCAATTGATTCTCTCACTTCTCAGGACTCTGCATTATGGGAACATGAATTGAGGACAGAGATGGAACACTGAAAAGTGGTAGTCCCAATCTGACAGATCAAGGGCCGGTCGTGGGGATGAGGGCCAAGTTTGGCAAAACAGATCTGATTTCTTTCTATGTAGCTTCCTTCATGTTTCCTTAACCTCAAACTCACTTCCTGAAAGTTGAAATATGCGTGGGCTAGACCCGGATTACATTCAGGTTTAAAATGGCAGGCAGTTCAGATCACATCCTCATTCGTAAGGACACAAATAATTCACAACAGTAAAACTCGCATCTCCCATACCTCATATTGACCTCCTTCAGCGTGTTGCTAAGTGTTTCTGTCACAGGTGGGTGACACTCCTTTAAGAGTTGGTTGGTGACAGAGCCAAACTTCTGTAAGCTTGTCTCTTGTTTCTCTAGATCATCCTGAAGACTCTGTCCAAGGAGAACATACCAGACATGACGTGATCTGATTTTCATGGCCATTACCAAGTTTAAAAGTCACTTACAGGCCTTTTCAGGAATATGTGCATGTAACACGTACACGATGCATGGAATTGCCTTGGTGCTTTGTCAGCTTTATATCCACGTGCCTTCTCTTTTTAGGGTTTTGTCTTTCTAGGTGGAAGAAGGGGTTCTTAGTTGGAGAAGGCCAGGGCAAGGATTCACTGAGTTGTATCTAAGGTCACCAAGCGCTGGTGCTGACTTCCCAGCAAGCCCCAACCACCATTCCAGGTGGTGGTATGGGGGTGTTTTTGTCCCTTCCCCAGTAGGGGTCTACAGTCAAGGTATGTGTGCAGGCTGCCATACTCTGACACGGCACAACAGTTAAAGCACCATGTTTAGACCCTGTGCCATGAACTGAAAGGTTGACCAGCCAAACACACCCTGTAGTTGCATGGGAGAGAGATAGGAAATCTGTTTCCATCAAGATGACAGCCTGGGAACCCCTACAGGTCAGTTCTCCTGTTACCTGGGGTGGGTGGAAGTCAACATCAAGGGCATCTGATGGCATCAACAGCATTGCATTCATACACACCTAGAGTCTTTCTACCCTAAACTGCTGATAACTGCAACTTAGCAAGCCAGAGCATGGGGGCATGTTCTCAGCAGCATTTCTAGGTACCATCTCTAGGTATGTTTTTCTTGCAAAGAATGATGATACAGGCTGTGGGCTTTGGACAGTCTTCTTACCAAGAGCCAGGGAGGGACCTGGGAGAAAAATGCTTCCTTCGAAATATCACTGGATTGAGAGACTCAGTTCTTAGTAGACCTCGAAAAAAGGATTCTGGCAGCACAAACCCAGTACAGGTTAACACCCGTGTCTGATTACCCTCAAATCAAACTATTTGAGGAAAAAAGAAATCCTTCATCTTTTCATGCATTTGTTAAGACAGCTCTTTTGGGTGTTAAACATGGGACGTATTAAAAAGTACTTTTAAGGTCTTCGGAATTATGATGTTATTTTTATTCTTGCTGTTCCCCAAGTAAA